GAGTTGAAGACTATTATTAAACAAGAAATCAAAAAAGCAGAAAGGCAAAGAATGTCAGGCAGGATCATGAATTGTAGTGCAATAATAATTCAATAAATTACAAAGCATGCCTAAACCAAGGAAAGTAAATGGATTGTATTAACAGGCTTTTATTTCTCTAAAGGAACTCTTAGGTGTTCTGATGAGGCAAAGGGCCTCTGCTCAGATTATTACAGTAAACCATGATATTAAATGTTTCCATCACAAATGCAATAGTTCACATTTTCAATTAAGAAAATCCCAGTGCTCTAAGTTGAAGGTAAGTCCGGAATGGAAAAAACAACAAGTATTATAAGCATAACTGTATAGCAGATGCTGTCTAGACTCTAACAAACCACTCTTCTTATTGGTTTGCATGTCTCATTTTAGTTGTAAAAAGCAGCAGCATCTAAACTGATAAAATTAGAAGTGACTGCTCTAGCAACTTCAAATTAGGATGATTCCATTTACTTGATAATTTTGGTGATGCTACTATTAATGTCAGTAATACCACTTATAGTATTAAAATGATACCCTCCCAAAAATGTAAGGAAGCAGAAAGCAAATGAACACACAGATTTGAGAAATAGGAATTAGAAAGCTATAAAATGAGACCATAAAACAAGCTGAAGGAACATGTAACTGTGGAGGTGTGGAAGGGCTTAAGGAATATTTATATGGCTGTAATTTTTCCTCTACCACATAATTATGGTTTGCAAATAAATGTGAGATTACTTTTAGGTTAGTCAGAAATATTTAGCATCTGAATTAAAAATCAGACATGAATAAGCAGGAAAGAATGTTTTTCAAATAGAGTTGGTTAAAACTCCCTAAGAACAACAATGTTAAAATCTATCACCTTGATTGCGCCTTTGTTTGATAATCAACTTTATACACTCAGGAGTGGGTTGCCCTCTCTCCGCAGAAGTTGCCCTACATCTGTCTGCCACCTGACTTGCAGCTATTTATAGTACATCCTCCCCCAAGCTCTGTGTTCTGCCTTGTGCTTTCTGGAATAAGTAACTGCCGGTAGAGGAAGAAAGGTTTGACTGAGGAGTAAAGTACAATACAGTATTGAAGCTTCTCAAATTTTAGGACTTCTTTTTTTCAGCTGGTCTTTGTCAGAGAAAGTTTCTAGAGGATTATCAGTAAATAAAACACTGCTGTACAAAGGAGCTACTAATAAACATATAAATGTTTTGGATTCTTTAGGGTGAGATTCTACTGTGAAATGTTATATTAATTTGTATATGCATGGTAATCAGTCACCATCAGGCAGAGCTGTTATGCCAGGAGATATATGGTTGCTTTATTTTTGTAATTTTTCACTCTTTTAGATAACACCTCAAATATACCATAAGCCCAAGTTTGAGTGATGCCACAACATAATATCCATGGCTATGTTTCTATGAATATGTATTCCAGCTTCTAGACAATTCTAATACTCTCTGCTTTGCCAGCTCCCCACTTCTAGTTTTATTTTTAAGAAACAACCTCTCTGGCTATTATCAAAAAGAGAAGAGATAACAAATGTTGGCAAGGATGTGGAAAAAAGTGAAGCCTTGCCAGCTATTGTTGGGAATGTAAATTGGTGTAACTGCTATGAAAAACAGTATGAGAAAGTTTTCTGAGGAAATTAAAATAGAATGGCCATATGATCCAGCAATCTTACTTTTGTGTATTTATCTCCAAGGGATACCTGTACTCCCATGTTCACTGAAAAATTATTTACAGTAGCTACGGAAAAGAAAGAACCAAAGTGTGTGTCAATGAATGAAGGGTTTGGGAAATCAATGGATTTCTATGTAGCCTTAAAAAAAAAAAAAGATAATCTTGTCATCTGCAACAACGTGGATGAAACTGAAGGGCATTTTAATGCATAAAATAAACCAGACAGAAAAAGAAAAATACTTCATGGTATCATTTATATGTGAATTCTTAAAAAAAAAAAATACATGGAAACAGAGTAGAAAAATAGCTGTCAGGGACTTGGGAAGTAGGGTAAATTAAAAAAGGTTGGTAAAAGGGTACAAACTTTCAGTTATCATAAATTTTGTGGATCTAATGTATAAAATGGTGGCTATGCTGCTAACAGTATATTGTATAATTGAAACTTGTTAAGAGAGTAGTACTTAAATGTTCTCAAAAATAAAAAGTAAAGAAGGTAAAGAAGTGAGATGATGGTGGAAGTGGCAGTTAATTTTACTAGGAGGATTTTTTTCACAATATGTATGTACATCAAATTATCATATACACTTTAAATATCTTATAATTTTATTTCTCAATTATACCTCAGTAAAACTGAAAAAATTAAAGTACATCTATGCCAGGTGATTGGAAGAAATGAAAAAAGAAATAGCCCCTATTAATGTGACTCCCATCCACATATGTATATTCTTCTAATTTCCCTCCTGAGTTATCACTATCATTTCTGAACAGTGTTTGTAACAGGTATTTAACCAGTTTTGTCTAGATCATTGATTTTCTTTAGATGAGTTCTTAAAGTTATCTATAAATCTTAATAGCTTGTGCCTTTCCTAACTATTAAGCAATAAGGTATTAGGGCATGTGTTTTTGAAAAAAAAAAAAAACTAAACCAATCTATAAAATATGACAAACTCAATTGACACATCTATAAAACTTTTTATAGGGATTATGAAAGAAACATTGCTGAAAGCAAAAAATAATAATAAGGATTAAGAAGAATATTTAAGTCTATTTGATGAGTTTGGTTCTGATTCTGAATATTTAGGTTGTGTTTGCACAACACAAAGTGAAAGACAGATTGGTTTTTATCCAGCTTAATTTAATAAAATAAATAGCAAATATAAATAATTTGGTTTCCCTGGATAGAGTCTCTAAAATTTTCAAAATTACTACTTGACTTTAACTCACTTTGTCAGATAAATAGCAGATTTCAGTCTCTTAATCAATATTAACTAATGTAAGAAATTATATGTTCACTATTTGTTGAGTGCATATTCTGTATTTCATAGAAAATGGAGTAGAATACATTATTCCTGAAATAAGAAAATTACAGTACATCAGAAAACTAAAGGAATCTCACAAAAATAGCTGAATTTCAGTAAAGTTACAAGATTTAAAAAACTAATGAAGGAGATGAAAGACCTGGATTGAAAAGAGGGTATAAAGTGAGTCAGCCTAGTTATAAAAGGCTCTGAACAGAACACAAGAGATTAAGATCAGAAATAAATAGTAGGGCAGAGAACCCAGGATGAGAACTGGTTGATTCTGTTCCCAGAAATACTTTGGGCTAGCTACTGTGATGAATCTGTGCAGGAGAACCATAGGAGATATGTTAGAAAATATGAAATATTTTACTATGATCCTCAAACATTCTACAAGAGTTCTCCCTTTTCTAACACCTCTTTCTCCCGGGTATCTTCAAATAGATAGAATCAATACTGATGGGACCTAAAAAAGTGTAGGTAATCGGTATTTGGAAGACACCCAATACTCTCTGGAGAACAGATACATTAATGATACCTACCCTGCTATGACACATTGCAGCTTTATGCAAATAAGAAAAAAAATATCCTTGCTTAGCTGCCCCAAAAGAGAAGATGTTTCCAACAGGTTGTAACATCTTGACAGTGTAGTTTTAGGATTAGTTACAGTGGTATCATGAAAGATAAAACAGGGTACAGAGAAGAGAATAGGGACCAAATAAATCTCCCTTAATGTTTCTCTTACTTTGGCAAATTGAAATGATTTCTTGATTAGATGAACCCCATTCTCAATTAATGTTTTCTGCACTTGTCTGTTAATTGATACATGGAGGTATATACCTTATTTCAGAGCTGTGGTCACCAAGGATGTGAGCCAGGGTCACTGGAAGTGTATTTTGGACTTGATTCCCAAATCCTCTTTTTAATAATTCCCTAAACATATATATATATCTACACACTGTCTACGAAACTCAATTATTCAGGGGTTAAATATATGCTTCTATAAACAATTAATAGATGGTAACATTTTCATCACAATTGATCTAAAAATCGGTGTCATCAACTTAACACACTTTACAACTGCCTTTATAACAGACTATCTTGCTACAGGAATAAATAACTAAATATGTAAATCATTTTTTCTCTAGTCTGAGATAGTCTCTAAAAAGTTATATTGTGCTCTTTGTATTACAAAGTATATCAAAAGAATGGAAAAATCTGGGACCTTCTTTCTCCCATAGGAAGTATTATTTTAGCATGTGTTTTTTTTTTTTTTTAAAGAGCACATTTTCTAATCAACTAATATTCTAAAACACCAAAAAGCAAGTAGTCTTTATTGAATATATTTTGAGGAGCTAACAGGCAACACCATCACTCAGGAAATCCCCACTGAAACTCTGTACATGTATTTATCCCTGATATGCAGCTCATCCTGGGGAGCAGCCATGGCCTATACCGCTTGCTTTTCTGTTCAAGATAAGAGCCTGCCTGTCACCCCCTCCTACTCTTCATTAGTCTTTTTCCTCATTATATAATCTTTTCAAGGAACTCCCCTGCTGTCTTTATGAAAATCAATTTTCTTCTTTGCTTTCTTACAATTCTCTACCCCTAAGATCACAAAATCAGCACAATGGAGGAAAAAAAACCTGTGAACACTTTAATGTTTTTGAATTCCATACATATCAACATATTAGAGAAAAAAAATTGTTCCAGAATATAAATTGCATTAGTCCTTTTTCCAAGTGATATCCCACTAGTTGCTGAGAATGATTTTATTAATTCTTCCAAGTTTTTAAGTTTTAATGAAGTATTATTAGAATTTAATTTGATTTGCAAAATTACATAGGTATTGAAATCACTGATTTCGTGAAATCTTGAAATTTGTATATTTTCTACTAGGAGAAAACATGCACTTTTTTCCTCAAAGTTTTTCCTTACTTTTTAATTATAATGTTAATTTTACTAACCTCTAGTTAACATTTTGATAATTAAAAATATTAATTGTAATCTTACCATTGTTGTCTCTTGAATGGATCCAAAACTGTTGATAAAAATGTTGACTACTACATCAACAGGAATGCCTATGAATAAAACATTAAAGATATATTTAGTAGTTGTAAAAAACTTGGTCAGACTTTTCATATTTTTATGACTTATGCATTTGAATTTTATGTTTTTTCCAATCCACATGGGATGTAAAATTATAAAAGTGTAGTCTCAATATAACAGGTTCACAAGTGATATTAACTTACTTTTCTAAATAGGGATCATAATGCAAATAAAAATGAGTTAAAATATATATAAATATATAAATATTATTTATTCAAAAATAATTATGTCTTAAATTTAGATAATCTGAGAAAACCCTTGTCTAAAAATTTTAAATTAAATTGATATTTTTATCTTAACAAAATAAAAATTTTTCTTAAAACATAGTAAAATATGGTTTAATTTTTTACATTTTTATAATTATATAAAATACCTATTTTAATTTGTAAAGCAGTATTCAATACATTTTGCTTATAATTACCACATTTTGATTTTTGATTCATGAAAATGCTAAGTTAATCAGACCTATAACAGAGCCATTATAAATATTTTTGCCTGATCTTTTGGGGTAATTTGAAGGTTCATAGAGTGAGACTAAGGTATAATGTTCCAAATTTCTTTCTTTCTTTCTCTTTATTTTTTTTTCTTTTTGTGGGCTGCCGGTGGGGCTAACAAAGGGAAAATGTGAACTTAGCCTTTTAGCCACAAAACCACTGACTGATGAAAAACAGGTGGTGAATCAATATATGGTAGACAAGTGACGACCCAGACCAGGGCTGCTGTTGAAAGTAACTGAATAGGTTCTGGTAATGAATAAACCCCCCTGTTTTTACAACATAGTTGTATAACTTCAGTGACTAGAAGCAGCTGCAGACTTGGTTTTTGTCTGTAAAGAGAAAAAACATCAAGCTTTATAATATTAATCTGATCTACATTAATACCTGTCCATAACAAGCAAAAGGGTTACAGTTTTGCAGAGGAGATTTATTTCCCCTATGACTTTTCCAACTTATCAAGAGGACAACATAAAGGGAAAGAAAAAAAAAAAAAAACCACAACTATATAATCTTCTCATGACTTTTATTGCAAGTATTGTTCTTTTATTGCAAGTATGGTATTATTTTGTTGGGTTAAAAACAATTTATGCTGTAGAAGACATAGTCTCTTTTATTCACAAAGTTAACATGTTTTTAAAAAACTATATGGGCATCTTTTTTAGCAAAAGGGTAGCGGGTAGTTTTGTTACCAATGTGAACACCAGAACCATTGACTTTCCCTAAATGAGTGTATGAGCATTCTCTTACAAATTATAATTTACAATATGTAAACCAGGTCTGCATCCAGAACCTAAATTTTAAATCACTAATATTAAGAAAGCTATAGTTACAGAGATGTGTCTATTAATTCACAATATACCTTTTTTTTTGGTAATATTTTTAACCAGGGACCATATAATTCTGCTAGAATTTATATTTGCCTTGAATATTTTTGGCATTAAATTGCTCTGACTCTAAGCACAATACAAGATAATTACGTGTCTATCTGAATTCTTGCTTTGAATAGTACAAATAAATGAATGCATACAGATAAAATTAATTTTTAAAATGCAGAGACTGTAGTATCTCTTAGGGAAGAACTAACCTTTGAAATTTGGTCTTATTCTGGGATCATAGCTGACCAATAACCTATTCAATATATTACTGGTTGAGTTGGCAGGTACTCGGGCAAGGTCCTCTGCTGACTGCTGGCTAAAGAGAAAAAAAAAAAAAAGACAAACTTCAATAAGTATTTAAAAATAGGAAGAAAGGAAATGGGTCATTTTCAGTTGAGAAAAACTGCTTTTTTGAGACAAGTGCATAACAAAACATGGCTCTACCAACCAGGAGGGAATAAAAAGTAGTACACATTGTCAGAAGTTCAAGAGAGTTGTCATTGAAAATAAGAAAAAAAAAAAATTAGCACTCAATTTTACCAGATGCATAAAACATTTTATTTCATTTAAATAAAATTAAGCAGGAATTTCACTTGTCTATCATAATCTAGACAAGCATATAGAGAGTGAAGACGATTTAACAGCAAAATAAATCAGCAAAAAATAGTTTTTGAATAATATATAACATTAACCTTCTGCCTAAGTACAGAAAGTATGTGACTACTGTAGGATGATTTAACTAAGGATGATAGACTAAGTATTCGTAACATTACACTGATATTTATAAAACAATATTGTCCAAGAATACACAATGAATGTTCTCCTTATTAAGTGAAATGTTATCCCAGGGAGGAAATGATAAAAGAATTTTCTCTATGGCAATATCAACTAAATAAGGAAGATACTCTTCAGTTATAAGATGTAACTATCTCTTTCATATAGATAAACATATATCCATTTATATAAGTATATAACATATATTAATTAATTCAAAAAATATATTTAAAAGTATATATATATACATATATATATTCTTGATTCAAAACTGGGAATCACACAATCCTACTTGAATTAATATTTTGTTTTGAATATTTTTAATATTAAATTGTTCTGAATACCTATTTATAATCTATCTACCTATATTTGTTGTCATTATTGTTGTTGAATCTTGACCAAATTGGTAGTTGTTTAAGATCACTTAAAAAAGATGCATTTCCTTGGAAATACATCAAAATTTTTTTAATTTATATATCTATATAGAGAGCACATCATTGTTCATTTTTGTACATGTATGCTTGTTTGCTTTCTCCTTACAAATGAAAAATGTTTTGTTACTTATTTGTTTCATTTAATTTGTTTCACTACCCATAATCTTCCTACATAATCATATTCCCAAGCTTAAAAAAGTCCAGGCCAATCACAAGGAAAGGAAACGAAAATTAGAACTATACTTGAAGCATCCAACACTGTGGTAAAAGTGCCAATTTCGTAAATCATAGTAATTTATGTGAATCACTCTTATATTAATGGACTAGGCTTTGTTTTGAAATCTCAACTCTTACCTGTCGGGAAATTCTGTTTCAAGTTAATTATATAATCTGCTGAGAAGAGACAACAACTACTTTTGGATTTGACAAAAAAAAGAAATCTAAAAATACTATGAATTGATACAAATACTACTTTCAAGTTGATGTCTGATATTAAAAAAACGAGAATATCAATTAAATATCATAAATGTGTTAGGAAAATATATAGATTTTTAAAAATGCTTCTTATGGCCTTAGTGGCTCTAATATCACAGTTGACTGGTAATGAGATTTTTCAAAGCCTTGCAGGTGAAATTGTAATCGGTAGAATCAATTGTCATCCCTTATCAAAAGACAGAAGAGTCTAAAGAGAATGAGGTTATGTGGGGAAATTGTATATTAGGATGCAAATTAGTGTTCAAACCCATATGCACATTTTCTTATTCACAGGAGGAAAATAGAATTGATTGATTACAAAACACACTTGTATTGGATCAATTAAGTGCTGTTATTATTGTGACTCTTAATTTAAAATCCTTTACAAGTACATTCCTTCTAAGCAATAAAATGACCAGACAACTTAAGACAATTAGCACTAAATTTCGTAGTCGAGAACATTCCAGCCTGATTTTTTCCTTCTTCCAGCTGTGTAAGGTGACTGAATGTGACAGTCTACAATATGACTTCTTGGCATGCAGGGAGAGGCTTTCTCTTAACTCCTCTAATCTGCGTAGAAGCAAGATCTTAAGCAAGCAATTCTATTGTTATAAATCCCCTTCCTGAGAGTTTCCTTGACCAGAGAAGAGGGGAACCTTCTCAGAAATGGACCTCACACCCCAACAAACTTGTCACAAATGATCACCTCCCACTTTTTCTTCTAAGGACCTACCGATCTTCCCTTAAAATCACTGATTCTCCCATTAGTGGTCTCTGTTATTCTTCTCCTTCCCCTGTTAAGATAGTATGAGTGTATATAAGATCTTAAATCTGCTTGTATAAATAAATAAATAAATCTTTAAAAAAAAATCACTCTTTTGAATACTGTTTTCTATTTCTGCTTTGACCTCGCCCCATGCATGTCAAATTAAACATTAATAAACTTACATAATTTTTCTCCTGTTAACACCTATTGCCAATTTATTTCATAGATCAGTTATTAAGTATAAGGCAAAAAAACTCCCTTAATGTCAAACTCATTTTCTAAATAAATGCATGACTTCCAGAATGCTCAAAACAATTTATATATAGCATATTTTCCTATGTCTGTGTTTACTACATGCAATCTTATAATTTGGAATTTGAATACTATTATTTATACAAAATAAGGAGTAAGAAGAATGAAATGGTTTTAATTAGGTCACACACTTAATGCCTGTTTCATTAAGTCTTCATACTCTAAATCTCAGTCCAATATTTTATCCATCTGAATATGCCATTTTCTCACATTTCAACAAATCAATCAATAATTCTGATATATTATAAAACAGGATTTATTTCATGGAAATATGATATTAATTTAAGAAAACAATTACTGTACACAGTGATCAAATGACTGCAGAAAATAATGTTTTATATCAAAAATCTTTTTTACAACTAGTTCTCTATTGTTCACATGCCTAACCTTAAACCAATGTCATGACTAATAAGTAAGTCATGCAAGGAATGTATCAGGCTGTATGGCTTAATGATGTAATGTTTTCCAGTGCTAAAGGAAAAATCCAGAACTTTCTTTCCAAAGGGGAGGATCAGTTTTCCATCAACTGTTGAAAGTTCTTATTTCACATAACCCTTTAGTGACCACACTGCACAGTTCCATTTTAAAATGTGTGTAAAAGAGAAATGTCTAAACCAGGATGCTGAGTCCAAAGAAAATGGTTTTGTTTTTCTACAGAGTTATAAATGCAGCAATGATGGTCAAAGATCTTCTCAGACTTGAATGTAGTGTTGTATTTGGAGCGCAAGCAATATATGAGTATGTGAGCTACAGAGTTTGCTGGACATGAACAGAAGCAAGCACACAGCAGCAAGGAAATGCAAGGTGTGTGAAATGTGTAGGTTGTATTATTTCTCCCATTTACCGTAGCACAGTGATTTTTAACATTTTTTTAGGTTACAGATACCACTGAGAATGTAAAAAAAGCTATGTTCTTCCCTAAAAAAGGGAAGGCGGAGAATTCCTGGAGCTTTGGACCTCGGGTTAAGAACCCTCCTTCATGAATCAAATGATATTCTCCTCCTCTAAAGGGAGATGAGAAGGGGGGAAAAAGAGTGAGTAAGTACCGTGTAGTGACAGAAAGTTAAAAAAAAAAAAAAAAAGCGGGGATGTGTCAAAGGGACACAGGTACCAACTGTGAGAGTTTCCAGTGCTGAATTCCAGAATAATTTGAACAAAAAATAAAGTGAAAGTGGGTTAAAATCCAAAGTATAAAGTCATACTGCACTGTAATCTAAAGTGTAAAATAAAAATCCATGGGTTCAGACATCTGGATATATAAATAGATGATTGATTGCATAAATATATACGTGACAGACAATAGACAAATCTTCCACACAAAACTGCAAGTAATTAGTTTAGAGTCTCTGTTCTCAAATCGATGCAGCATAATTCACCATTCCTAGTGTGAGCTAGGACAGTGAATTCATTCTAAATAGCACAGTAGGGAAAGAGTAAAAAAAGCAATTTTCATAGTGGGAAGCCTGACAATGATCACCTCAGCCAGGTAGTTAACATTAACCTCTATAGTGATAAATCATGTTGCTTCTATATTGCTTTAGTATAATAGGATGAGAAAAGCATTTTTATACCTGTGGTCTTTCTCCCCCAAATATACAGCCTCAGTCTATTCATGAAAAGGAGTATCAGACAGACCCCAATGGAGTGCACTTGAAAAGTACCTGACCTGCACCCCTCAACACGTACAATCATGAAAAGCAGAAGTATGAGAAATCATCACAGTGAAGAGGCGCCTAAGGAGACACAACAACTCTGGGTAATGTACCATGTTGATTACGCTCTTGTAACAGAGAAAGAACATTAAGTAAAAGCAAAGGAAACTTTAATAAAGTAGGGACATCAATTAATAATAATGTATCAATATTAAATCTTTAATTATAAAAATATGTACCATATTAGATGTTAATAATAGAGGAAACTAGGTGCAGATTATTGGGAACGTTGTAGTTTTTTGGCAACTTTTCAATAAACCTACAACTTCTAAAATAAAACATTTATTTGAGGAAAAAATTGAGGCCCAAAGACTGTAATAGTTATATGGATGGGAAATAAAAAATATGAACAGATATTGTATATAGATATATCATCAGGGAAATGTAAATTAAAATAAATGAGATACTACTGCAGACCTATTCGAAGGGCCAAAATGCAGAAAACTGACACCATAAATGCCAAGACGATTTGGAATAAAAGGAACATTCATTTGTTGTTGATGAGAATTCAAAATGGCACAGTCACTTGAGAAAACAGTTTGGTGATTCCTTACCAAATGAAACACATTCTTATTATATAATCCAGCAATTGTGCTTCTGGATTTTTAGCCAAAAGAAACAATGTTTATAGTAGCTTTATTCATAACTGCCAAATACTGGAAGCAACCAAGTTGTCCTTCAGTAGATGAATGGATAAATATATTGAGGTACATCTAGACAATGGAGTGTTGCTCATTGCTAAAAACAAATAAGCTGCCAAGCCATGAAAAATCATGGAGAAAACTGAAATGCATATTCGTGAGTGCAAGAAGCCAATCTGAAAAGTCTATATACTATACAGTTCCAACTAAATGACCTTCTGGGAAAGGCAAAACTATGGAGACAGAAACATTAAGACCAGTGGTTGCCAGGGATTAGAGGTGGAGGGAAGAGATTAATAGTTGGAGCACAAAGAAATATTAGGGCAGTAAAAATAATCTGTGTGATATGATAATGATGGATACAAATCATTTTTCATTTGTCTAACTAAATCTGTAGTGCTCAAAACCAGGAAGAATCCTAAAGCAAATTATGGATTTTTGATGAATAAGATGTTTCACTGTAGACCTATCAGTTGTATCAAGTGTACCACATGGTGGGGAGTGTTGATAATGAGAAAGATTGTGCCATTGTGGAGGCTGAGAATATATGGGAAATCTCTGTTCCTTTCCCTTAGAATTTTGAGAATCTAAAACGTCTCTAAAATTTTTTAGTAATACAAAAAGAAGAAAAAAGAGGACTAGAAAGAAGCCGAAAGATTCAGAAGAAAGATTCTTCTATTTAAAAGTCCACAACCTTACCAGAGGCAAACTCATATAAATGATCATAATAAATGATCGTACAGAACTATCATCTTGATCATATGCTTGGGTTTATGAAAAACACAGCTACAAGTCTACACATGTCAGTTTACAATAAGATCAGTGTTCCATTTTCATCTATATGGAAGAATCTTTAGTTCAAGAGATAATCCAACAGATAGAGATAAAGTACAAATATCTCCCACAATTATTAATCTAGATAATTGTAAAGTAATTATAGTATACTCTTGTTTTGTATTTGCCTAACTATGACTTATTATTACCTCTCTTGACAGCTGTTGTATTTATTTTCCATTCTGTTTTCACAGATTAATCTGTGAAAATAAGGTTTATGAATACAAGTGACTGATACCTTTATGTGATTAGTTGAGTTTAATTAGTTTATATTTATTTGAAAAGATGTGTTTATGGGTGTACATGAATGTGTGTGGTCAAGTTTGCTTTGTTATAATGGGCCAAGAAACATAATTAAGAATAATATCTCTTCAACTGAGCTTTTGGAACCCTTGGAAACATTTTCAAATTTTGTCTATCTTTAATTATGCAATTATATCACCCATGGCTCAAAGAAAAATATTTTTCAGAAAGTGGAAACATCTCTTTGAAGAAATCTAGGATTTAAACACCAAGAATTTTCAAAACAGATCAAGCTATGGTCTCTTTTCACTTGGTATCACATGCGAGATTATTTATTCTATAAATACTATAAATTTTTTCTATTTATATGGTGTATTTCTCAAATAGTGTAAAACATTATATATCTCTCTACTTCTAATGGGCTTACTAATTTATTAAAATCTCATAACATTAGAAATTAAACTGAAACCTCAATCCAAGCAAAATGATTAGTGTGCAATTACTTTCCATACTATGTAGAAATAATATTATACACTGCCCTAGAGAATAAGAATCCACAGCAACCACTCTTCTACCAATTGCAACTGCAATAGTACTTACCTTTTCCCAATTCTCCATTCATAGCAAAAATGTTTCCCTTCTGACATAACAGAAATAACAATACGATAAACTACACAATTACATATAATAAAATTGAGCAAAGTGTGGGCATAATTGAAGAAGCACTTGTCTAAGAGTTAAGAGACTTGTGTTCTAGCCCCAAAGAGACCCACATGGCCAAGTCATGTACCTCTTTCAGCCTTAATATACTCACCTTTAAATGAAAGGTTTATGTGGGGTGATGCCAAAGATCCCACTCAGTCGATAATTGGTTCTATAAGTAGTGGGTGCCTGGAGCTACATCCCTGGGATGGCAAGTTTAGAACAGAGGCTGGCAGTTAAGACTCTAAGCTGGGTCTCTTCTGGAGTAGACTTCAGCTAAGGAAGGAGTTTTGCCCTGGAGGCAAGCCATGTCCAAAGACTTTGATATGGTGATACTAAAGTACAGGCATCCCTTTCTGCTAATTGTGACAACACTAAAGTGCCATGCAGTCTCAGCATGTTACAGCAATGGCTGCACCAGCTGCAACAGCATTGTTCCAAGTTTGAACCCTCCTTCTTCACCCCCCAAACCTGTAGTTTAAAGCAATCCCTTTCTGAGCCTCCCTGGTGGCGCAAGGGGTTAAGATGCAACCTATGAAGCAATCCGCAGCCTCTGCAATAAGAGTTCAATCCTCAGCCCAGCCGGCCAGGGAGCTACCCACATGGTGCAGCAGACCCCTCCTGTCTCGCCCGCTGCTCCCCTCAGCAGTGTATTTCAGTAGATTCGCCTGTTCTGCTCCCCACTCTGTCTCTGGTGAATCCTTTCACTCTCCCCCCCACACCTCTGGCCTGTACCCCAGTTCTTATATGCATAAATGAATAAATCTTTTTTAAAAAAATTTAAAAAAAAAAGCAATCCCTTTCTGCCTGTAAACCTTTATCTTGGAATCTGTCTGGAAGAGTTACCTACAATATGAACTAAATAATAAGATTCCACAAGGAACATCAAAGTTTAACCAATCACACAACTACCAACATGGTAAATTTCTCTTTAGTCATTCTCAAATTCATTTAACAACGTTCTTTAGGATTGTTTACTGTGTATCACATGTAATGGCATGTGTTGGTTATAGATTTAAGAATCAAACTCAAATATTGAACATTCTGATATAAAAGTGGTTAAAGCTAGAGGTTCATATGAATCTGTCTAGTGATTCTGAGCATTGGTGTGTATTAGATTCACCTAAGGAGCTTTGCAAACTACTGATGCCTATCTCACCACCCCTGCCTTGAGATTTAATTAGTTTGGGATGAGGTCCAAGCATCAGGAATTTAAACGTTCCTCAGATGATTCTAATGACCAGATGAATCACTTGTTAGAAAAGAGCATTAACAGTAGAAAGGGACATGGAATTGAAACATGAGGAACTCCAACATCTAATGAGCAGATGGAGGAAGATAAGTCGGCAATTAAGACAAAGAATAAACCGCCCAAGAGGAAGAAGGAAACCCAGAAGTGTGTGGTGTCAACACAACTCAAGGAAAAGGAATATTTCATGGAAGGGGGGTTGGTTAACAGGACCAAATGTTCCTAAGAGGTTGAGATGAAGACTGAAAACTTTGTATGGGATTTAGCAAAGGAGAAAGGTGGTTTTCAGCTAAGATACAGAATCCAAACATATAGGAATAGGAAAGGAAATGGAATGAAGGAAAACACCTCTGAAAAGTTTGACTGGGAGTGACTTCAACAAGATGGAATAGTAAGTTCTGGGGCCTCCTTCCCCCACATGGACATACAGACTCTATAGTAATATATGGATCAATTACCATTGTGAAAAAGCCAGAACCGGACACTAGCTGAGAGACTTCCATACCCAATGCAGCTGCAATGAAACCAGCAGGAAAGCAGAAATACGCTCCCCCCACAACCCCACCTCTGGAACAGCACACTGAGACACCTCCTCAGGAGACTCTGAGGAGGAACAGAATAGATCATGAATATAACATCTGGCTTTTCCCTACTTCCCTACTGACTGCCTTTTATCTCACCTGTCTCAAAGAATGATGGACCGGGCATATGCCAATCCCCTTCGTTCCACCAGAAAAAGAAGCTGCTAGAACTCACACCACAGCTCCTCTCCACCCCCTCAGCACACAGTGACTGGGCTATCAAACCTGCTCCTCCCTGCACCTGCACTCCCCTGGTCAATGCAGCACTATTCTCAATGGCCACGATGTGGAAGCAACCTAAGTGCACATTCACAGGTGAATGGATAAAAGTCTGTGGTGTACATATACCAAAGAATACTATTCAGCCTTTAAAAAAAAGAGAATACTATTTAGCCTTAAAAAAAAGAAGGAAATCAGCCACATGCAACATGTATGAACCTGGAGGGCTATATTAAGTGAAGTATACCTGTCAGAAGAGGACAAATACTGCATGATGCCACTTACATGAGGTACCTAAAACAAACTTACAGAATAAAATGGTGGCTGGCTAAAGTGAGGGAGAAATGAGGAGTTGCTGTACAATAAGTATAAAGTTCTAGTTATGCCATATAAGTAAGTTCTAGGGGTCTGTTGCATAACATCAACAATATATCAACAATACTTCATTAGACACTTAAGATTTTGTTAAGAGTATAGTTCTCATGCTAGGTGTTCCTACAATAAAATTTAAAAAACAAAAAACAATTTTCAGATTTTCAGTGACAACTACCTCAAAGAAAATCTATACAGTACATTTTAGCTAAGTTATTGCTCTTTAATGTAGAAACAAAGTCAAAATTAGTTTTGTTTTTTTTTTAACTGAGCCCAATGGTTGATTATCTGAACTGTCTGCATAGCTGTTATTTGGAAACATAGTTTAATTTCTTGACTTTCTTCTAAGATGACTCCAGCACATGGAGAAATAAAAAGTAAACACCAGCAAAATGGAACCTCTTTGCATATATTTCTTGAATTCTTCCATTTCGAAAATTCTTGAAACAAATCCATTTTTTATCCCCTTCCTCTCAAAAAGAAAATTCTACCATTGAACTCTGGAAAAGGAGACTGTCGAGAAAAATGTGGGATTCAAGGACATTTTGGCATTTTCTTTACATTACCTATAATGTAAAACCTGAGTATGTTATAAAGATCCAGTTGAGGGCCTCCCCCGTGGCCCAGCGGTTGAGCGCTGGGTTGCAAAGCTGCCCGCAGCCTCTGCAGCGCCGGTTCAATCCCCGGCTGCTCCCCGGCCACCAGAGGAGGGTCCCACATGGCGCACAGACCTCTCCTGCCGCCCGCTGCTTCCCTCAGCAGTATACTTCGGTCCTTCTGCCTGCTCTGCTCCCCGCTCTGGCTCTGGTGAATTCTCTCATCCTCCCGTGCTTCTGACTGTACCCAGTGCTTGTATAAATAAATAAAAATAAATCTTTAAAAAATAAAAATTAAAAAAGATCCATTTGAGTGGAAAATTTTGAGAAAGCTAATCATAATTTTAATCGACACCCCACAGCCTCTCCCCACATCCCCACACCCCTGTAAATGTAAGTCAATGAGATTTTAATCATAGAGGAAGGAAGGAAGCAGCCAAGGATTGGAGAGGAGAGCTCCTTCCTTGAAGAAGGAAAAGGAAGAGAGAAGTGACAGAGTAGGCAAGACTGTGTGCCTGGTAGTAGAAAACTGAGCCAGTCAGACTTAGTGCAAGCCTTAAAAATTTCAAGCTAACAATCCAGAACAATTTTCTTATGTTCCTGCCAAAATAGAGTTCTTACATGAGCCCCTTGCAAATAAAAAATGAAATGAAATGAAATGAAATATACTGCACTGTATTTTAATCAACTCAAAACTTTAAAGGTGACCAAAAATTCATCAGTGTGAGTGATTTTGAAATTTGTTTTATAGGTATTGTGATACAATATCCAGGACTGTTGTCAAATGAGTAATGACACAATTAATATCATCTATCACCTGTAATTTTCTGTTTTGGGGGTGGGTGGGATATGTTCCTTAAGTATAAATTTTCAAGTTCAAACTACTTCTCCCTCACACCTCTCATCCGTAAACAGAAACACATATTCTGAATATTTGACAAATAGTTAGTGAGCGCCAACTCCACCCAGGCATTTTCCTAGGTCCAAAAAATACAGAAACACCTACCCTTGTGAAATCACCCCTGATTTATGAATAATTGGCTATCAGGTTTTTCCCCAATTCCCTTTCTTACAGAATTCTATTTAGATCCATGATTTGTGTTTGATGTGGTTTCAAATAATCATCACTGCGGTCCAGCCACATTTATGAAAAGGTGGTTATTCCAATGCCAAGGTAAATATCTTCACTCCCAATTAGATTGTTTGCTTTGTCTCTTTTCCCATGTGCAATTTTTTTGGGTTACTTTTTTATTTAATGTTTAAACACAAAATAGAATCAAAATTATCCATGCTAAATCAGTGAAAATTCCAGAATTTTGAGTCTATATATGTGAAAATGGAAAAAGTGATTCTTAAATTTACATGGAAATGCAAAGGACTTATATTAGCCAAGGAAATACTGAAAAAGAACTCAGCTACAGGACATACAGGAGTCCTACAGTAATAAGAAATTTGTGTAAGGAGCACAAGAGTAAGAAGGAATAAACCGATCGGACAGAAAAGAGAAGGAATGGTAACAACTGCATTTTAGCAAAAGATAACCTTTTAAATAAATGTGCTGCATTAACTGATTGTCAATTTTAAAACTGAGTATTAACATTACCCCACATCATACAGAGAGAATAAATTAACATTAATTACAAGAACTAAATGTGAAACATAAAACAATAACACTTTGGGGAGAAAATAGACTATTTTCATGACCTTGGAATAGGAAAGATTTCTTAAATAAAGTGCAAAAGGATTAAAATAAAAGCTTAATAAATCAGAATTTAAGAATATTCTAGTTCGTCAAGAGCCATCAGTAAGAAAATTGTGTAACAAAGAGTGGAGAAGTGGTTTGTAGTACATATATCAGACTGTCAATTAACACATTTGTAAACAGGCATTTCTTCATAGAAGACCTGTTTCCAGAATTAAATTGAGTCATTTTCGTAAATAATTTGGAACAATACCTAATGTTTTGTCTTATCTACCAATACACAGTAACCTAACACCTGTCTTAGGCAGGAAGAAAATCCATGTTACAAAGGTAGTGAGACAACCAGTGAGAAAAATATCTGTCCAAATCAGCTGAGTTATCAATGTGTGGTTTTAAACAAATACACAGAATAGCCTCATTTCATACATACATATACACATACACACACACACACCTATATGTATATATACTACAAATTTATGTGCCTTATTTTCCAAATCAAAAGTCAAATTCTACTGGTCTCTGGAAACTTACACTTATGAGCTGGTAAAATGGAATGTTTTCCTTAATGCCACAAACCAAAACTTGAAAACAAGATAATAAGTTAATAAAGTCCAAAGCAGAAATTTGGAACTGAAACAGCAATTTAAGTTTCATAGCCCTTTGGGATAAATCACACCGAAGGGCACTGTAGAGACTTTGAAAAATAGGGTCTTCGCTAAGGTCCAGGAGCCTAAGGAACTGAGTGAAGATGCCTCAAAGGCAATCACTGTAAGAAACCTGCTTTGGTTTTAACCACTTCTTTACAGCTTCCCTCTGTAGTATGTTTTATGTATGTATAACATTATTTGTAATAAAGAGACAAGAAAGCTCTCTCTTTGGAATTACATCTCCATTAAAATATCTACAGGGAAACATGAGTTAACTATGAGACATATATTGGACAAAAATCCCACTGAAAGATTCGGATGCAACAAGAGATGAATTGCTTTCTTGAAAAATGAATATGGTGGCATCTGGGTAAGGAAAGATAAGCCTTTCGTGCTCCGATCACTGTTAGGAAACCAGTGTAACTAGTTATTCAATGAGCTAGATTCTAGAGGACTCAATCATGCAATAATTCTGTTCCCCCCCCAACCCCCTCCCCCCCACACACCCACACACCATCCAAACCTGCTCTGTGAGCTGGTACCTGCACTGTCTGTAAAGAAATTTCCTGCCAGTTTCATACATTTTCTGTCACTGGCAGATAATTAAAAGACGCCCCTTCCCCTCCAGTGCCCCAGTACTTTCAGTCCCTCTAACATTGTCACTTCCATAATTATGATCCCCAGTCCTTGGTAGTAATCAAAAGGTTGAGCTTAATTAAAAAAATGAAACCTCCTCTCCCCAGCCAGGTCCTTCTGGGACAGGGAAGCCATAAAAGGGGGTGCGGGCAAGACTAGCTTTTGCTCTATTCTGCCTCATTAGTTTGCAGCTTCTTGGTGGCCTTCTCAAAATCTCTTCTTTGAGAATCTAAGTACCTTGGAACGGCCATGCTTCTTGCCAACTGCCTGCTCCTGATTCCAATGTCAGTCCCAGGCATTCTGCAGCCCCACCTCACAGACACTGTAGGGGCTCTGACACCCCTCTATGCACTTTTGGGCAAAGCTCCTTTGTTTTGAACTTCAAGCCAGCTGCGTGTTCTCGCTCCCTCTTGTTCCCAACTGTCCTTTCTCCTGTTCATGCTCCTTCTCCTATGGCCCACATCTGAGCTATAATAAATGCCCAAGCATTCTTTTTCCTGACAAATGGAATATGAATATTCACCTCCCAGCCACCCTCTTCTCCAAGTTCTGCTTCCTCTTGACAATAGTTACAGCCAAGACTTCTGGAAAGGGGGTCAGTAGCAGTTCGCTATGCTGGTCCCCACACACAGGGACAATGATTCTGTTTTCTCTCGAGGTTTGAGAATCAGGAAAGGCATTTTCCTCCAGTCTCTGTGGCAGGCAGGAAGGGAAATACCACAGCACCTGCACAACTTCCTTCCAAGTTTCCTCGCTTGGTGTCTTCGGCCTTAACCCTTTCAGGTCATGAGGTAGATGTGAGCTTAAGGTTAGGAAATAAGTTTTCGGTCACATTTTCATACACAACTCGCTTGAGGTATGTTTCCCAACTTTGTTACGTTCTTGGTACCCAATTTTTAGTCTTTGGGGCTTCAGTCAAAACTAAGATTGAAAAAATCCTACTTCAGCTTCCTGATATACTAAGCTACCTTTTAACTGCCCTTAGTGATCATTCCTAACAGAAAATATAATTATACATTATTTAAGTAATATAAGTACATGTTAATATTGACTTAAAAATTAAAAATAAGTATTTCAAATATTCCTTAATATCAAATAATCAATTATTTCTATATTGTGAATTCTGGCACATAAATACAAAAACTTTCAAATACAGAAAGTGATTATAAATTAATAGAGATAGGGAGACTCATTAAGAAGAAATTTAAGAATTTTCACAAGAGCTAAGATTGAAGCATTATGGACATTATCAACTAGAATTTTATCAACTAGAATTTTAGTAATTTTTGTTTTAAGTAACTAAGTTACTTGTCTAGGATAATTAGTGACATATATAAAGAACTCAAAAAAAAACTATCTTAAGAATTATTTTCATTTCATTTCTGATATGAAGAGTTTAGGATAACAAGTAAATGAGAGTAGCTGTTCATGTCTTTTGAATTCTCTATTCCTAACTCTGCTTGTTAGGCCACTGTAAGAACTTTATTTGTTATCCATAAGGAAGCCTTAGTATTCCTGTTGAGGGCTTCTCTGGTGGGGCAGGAGTTAAGGACAACGCTATGAAGCTATCGCCAGCCACTGCAGCACGGGTTAGATCCCCAGGCCTGTCAGGGAGCAACCCACATGGCGCAGCAGACCTTTCCTGCCCACCCCCCACTGTTCCCCTTAGCAGTGTGTTTCAGCAGATCTGCCTGTTCTGCTCCCCACTCTCTCTGGTGAATCCTCTCACCGCCCTCCTCCTCTGGCTTACACCCCAGTTCTTGTATGCATAAATAAATAAATCTTTAAAAAATATATTCCTGTTTAGGAGAATTTTACCTTAAAATTTCACACACCACTGAAAGGTAATTAGTGCAATACAGTTTAATACTTAACATTCCAAAGACAGACAAATACATGGAAAGTAAACGTGCTGGAACTGTGTAAACTAATCTGGAATCCAAGGAGACAAAGGGAAGAAATATGTGACCAGTTACCAGTGTATGGTACAGGGTATCGGTCCATCAAAATCTGCACAGGATTTACAGATCATGTGTGCTTATATAGTATTATGGAGATTTAGGAGAAATACAGTTGAAGTTCTGTTATCGGCTTTGATTCTTAAAACTTTCTAACTGAGGTATTGTACTCTGAATCTGTGCATCTTAGTGCAGAATAAATGGCAAGGTTAGAAGAGCGATAAACTGATACCTGATGATATCCCTCTTTGTGGTTCCCAACTTAATATGATTTTGAAGAAAACTTGTGCTTATCTAATTTTCCTCTATCTATCATTGCCAGCCATAGATAAGCTGGAAATAGAGATGAAAATGTAACTCAAAGTTACTTGTTCCTCCTGTCTGCAAATTTCTGCTATTATGGGATCACTTCAGCCGTTGTTTTGTCTCTCTTGCATCACCAGCTTTCTCTATTATAATCCTTCCACCAGTTTATGCTTCATTATTTCTTTCCTAACCTTGTCCTCTACAACAATAACCTATTTCTCTGCTGCCTTTTACATCAAAATTCTTCAGGAAGACTCTAAAATTTTCATTTACCATTTCTTCTTTTTAATGTCTTTTAAATCCATTCTAGCAGGATTTCTGTAAATGGCATCTATATAAACAAGTTTTGTAAATATCAACAATGCTGTGAAACTTAATGATAGTTCCTCAACCCTCATCTCCCTTACCTACCAGGAATAAAACAATAGTGATCTCTATACTTTCTTAAAATTTGCTTAGCTTCACCTGAGTTCCAAAAAAAATGATTTTCTGTTTGCTTTAAGTTAGAAACCTGCCTGTTTTGTGAAATCCCAGAACATTATATTATAAATACACTCAAAATACTAATGATTATTCCTTTTATTTACAGATAACAATAGGACTATTCCCATTCCATTGATAATCCAGAACTGACTATATACCAGTATTGTGCATCTTCTTGATAAGCAAGAAAATGCACAGTATTTCCAAAAATAACTTAAAGGAATCCATCATTATCGTGGACATTTTAAATACAGATTAAGGTCAAATCTCAATTTCAACTTTTTTCCAAATGATTCTTATTTTAGTCAACTCAAGAAATATTATTACCACCAAACTAAGTTTCCCAGCCCATGGAATGCTAAATGCTATTTCAGTTTTTTTAAAAAAATTTGATTCCTCATTAACACTTCATGTGTTCCATCTTTTCTCATTATAGCCATTCTGATAGATATGTAATTATGATTTTAATTTGCATTAATGTGGTGATTACTGAAATTGATCATTTTTATATGCTGATTGGCCTTTTGGCTCTACAAAGTCTTTTGGTCATTATCAATCAGGTTGTCTGCCTTTTTCTTAATGATTTCTAAGTTATTCATAGATTCTTGATAAGAGCTAATAATAGGATGTGTATATGTATGTGTGTGTATTTGGAAACAACCCAAATGTCTATGAACAGTGGAATAGAAAAATAAAGTATAATGACTGCTGTAATGGATCCTATATAGCAATGACAGTGAATGGATTATTGCCCTCTTTAACACTGTAGTTGAATCTTACTGTACAACGGACTAAATAAGCTAGTTATAGAAGACATTTAGAAAATTTCTCCTTATATGGAGTTCAAAAATAAGCAAATTTAATATACCATATGTTAATCTTCAAAAAGGCAGTAATTGGAAGAGGAAATGAAGTGGCTTCTAAGGTGTTGGTAATGTTGTATGCCCAGAACTGGGTGCTGATTACCATTACATGTGAACACTTACTAATCCAGATGCTTAAGACTAGTACAGTTTTTTGTGCATATTTACTTCAAAAATGCTTACAATGCATACAAAATAACTGTTGTGTTTATATTTATAGGTGTAAATACCCATATAGATAGACATAAGCACCTGCATAAATGCATATCTACATTGAGAAAAAGAGACTGTACAAAATGAATAAAAGATGATATTGGAAATATTGACTAGTTGAACCTAAAAGTTTATTTAATATTCTATATGAAAAGTTAAATGAATATGTCCAGATGTGTTTAGTCATCAACAGATAATTTCTACTTTTTTCTCTAAAAAATTTGGCTCTTGTTTATCTCATGAAAGCAGAGCCAAAGGGAACCGCATGTTTTATACCTCATTTCCTTTGTGGGATGCCTTTGTAAATCTTATTGTCTGAGGACATGCAGTATGAAGAGGGGATGAATCATACACTGTTTCCCAAAGATAGTATCTCAGAATTGGTTCATACTTAGAAAACTCCATTGGTAACTGACGCACAAACTGAATACCATCCGTCAAATGAATGGCTAGTTTTTATATGATAGAACATACATCTATGAGCAGATAGATTGGAAGACTGTGGCCTCAGAAAGTGATAATCTGTTATCTCCAAAGAACAGCAATGAATTTTAAATCTCAGTAAAAGTCCACAAGCAAATAAAATATGTTGCTTTAAAAAATATGCAAAGGTTAAGTAAGATCAGGATAAAGAAAAAAAAGATAAAGAAGTATAAACATAGCAACAGAGAAGCTAATAAAAACACATGGACTAGGATTCAGAATTTCACTGCAGAGCATAGTCAGTGATGAATCCTTAGAAAAGTCACTTTACCTCTTGGGAACTGTTTTCTTCTTTACCGAATAAGTGGAGTAGGTGATGACCTGCACTGTATGACCAAAAAGTTAGTCTAAAATACCACCTAGATTGGATAACTAAATACTACTGACCTTAAGAAAACTACTTAAATACTCTCCACAACACATTCTCTCCATAGATAATGGTTGGATGATGCCACCTGCTGTATCAGGTCATTGTGAGGATGAAACGGGGCAGCCACATATCCAGCATATGGCACCGACTCCCCTGAACACAGGAGGCTGTCACAGGTATTGTACCCCTTACCCCTATACACACACATAATAGTCCAAGTCTGTGATGAAGCTATGAATAATAAGGTGACTGAAATATACTCCCCATAATTAGACATCCTATTGTAAAAATTATCATAAGTAATGCAGAAGAATTTAAATCTGTAGCCCAGAATTTAAATCTGTAGCCCCTTAAAAGAAACTAATATCACAAACATAGGTAACCTACTTTGTAGAAATTTTAGAGTTCAGTAAATATTATATTATACAATTTCAATTGTACCATTGAAAAACCACTATGAATGATGTAGAGATTATAGTTTCCACTTTATGGATCAAAAACAGGATTAGACAGGCAAAAATGATTCCTCATTTAATGTCACAAAGCAGTAAGTGTTCTGTTCCAGAAAAGTTTCTGACAAAGACAATACTGTCTCCATGTATTATAATTCCAGAATAAGAAATTTCCCCCAATTTAATGAGAAATTCATTATTCATATTGAAATTCTTTCACTTCATAGATCAGAATATGAAAGTTCCAAGTGACTTATCAAATTACAAACAATGCTCAGTAACAGAGTAAACTAAAACCAACTTTTCTCCAGAACTTTCAATCTGTTTCTCCTCTGTATTCAGTTAACTTCATGTTAAAGTTATCCAGTGAGTTTTAATGCAACAGAAAACACAATGTTCACTAATCTAATTTTAGAATTTTAACATCACAAATCACCTTTAAAGAACTATGATTTGTTAAATATTCACAATTATGAAAACTATATTAAAATGCTCTTTCAAATATATGTATGCACAAAGTCATTCTCCACATACTTCAATCAAAACAATATATCACAATAAAATGAATGCAGAAAAAGATGCCAGAATTCAACTACTTTCCATTAAACCAGTCATTAAGGAAATATGAACAATGTAAAACAATGCAGTTAATTTTCACAAAAATAAGTTATTCATGCAATAACAGTGATTTTTAAAATATTTTTGTTTCCATTTGAATAAGACAGTATCAACAGATATAATCAAAAAAGCTGAAAGTTCTTTGTATCCTAAAAAATGTTTCAGATTGTAAAGGGACTTTCTGAGAGCAACAATTTTAGTTTCACTCCCCTAGAATATGTAGTAAAGTGGGCAAGACAGGATAAAGTTCAGGAGTCTAGATAATAACAGGGTCAAGGTGAAACAACTAGAGCCTGACAAATAGTTGAGATGAGGAGAAACAGATGCAAGAGTCATTTCAGAGCAAGATCAACAGCAGCACCTTATGAGATTATCAAGGTGGAAAGATGAAAAATCATTAAAGCTGTTTCTCCAGTTTCTCATGAAAGGCTGGGTACAGAGTGGGAGGATGCACTTATTTTTGCAATAAGTACATCGGATGTGTTAACTTTGAGGTCTTATAGAAATTTTAAAATAATGCAGATCCCAAAAGAGCAGTTGCATTCAGAGATAAAGATGTGTGAACAAACACAGACACAAACAGACATGACTCAGGGCAAAACTGATGAGTACGAAGCTCAGAGAACCAAGGATGGATTATCTGGTAAAACCTAACATTTGAATATATGGTAAAATGCAGTATTTTAGGAATAGCTGTGAAAGGTGGTTAATCAGTTACAGCCAGGAGCAAAGGGAAAGAGAAAGGATGAGGTTCAAGCAGCTTTGGAGTTCAGACAGAGAGATGTTGGGAGGTGGGTTCCTGATCAAAGACTTTTATTTTCCTTTAAGGAAAAGCTAGGATTGGATGCTAAGATGTAGAATGGAATAGGATTAAGGACTGAAACCATTACTAGAGAGAGAGAAGCAGAGGCACTAAGAGGGCCATTGAAATTTGTTCTGTGGAACCAGACGAAGGCCCAGTCAATACCAGGTCCATACACAAAATAATTTGATTATTGATTTCAATGGATATATGAAATAACTAGAGATATTTACAATTGCAGAATTTTTTTAAAAAAATCATAGATGTTCCACTCAAATGAATATATAACTCATAGATGACATTGAAGAGATTTTCAGTAAAACCTTTGGATTAGCTTTTCAGCTATGTCCATGGGGTAACTGAGAGCTACACACTGTTGTAAAAATAGTCCACACTCACTTATCAGTAGGTGGGGCATTCCTACAAGGTTATTCTCAGGATGCTGAGAGTGGTAAATTTCCCTGAATAATCATGAATTCCAACTATTGTTTTCTCACATAAGACTAATACAGGTCAGATGTTTCAAGTTATTCAACACATTCTTAGAGTGATTTAATCAGTGTTTTGCTGTTATTACAATGAGAGCTCTAGAAGTTCTATTTCATATATACATCATTTCTCAGAGGAGCTATTTGTATGTACATAAATTTGAATAATTTGCTTCACGAATTCTAAGTGTAAATTTCCATATAATGTCTATGGAAAGGAATTCATTTGTAAAGGCTGGGCTCTGGAACACTGAAGGGATATGCCTCTTTGTAAACAAGGAGAATATACAAGATTTCTGCAAATATACTCTATTTTATACAGTATTGCATAAATTATAGACCTAAAAGAGAAAAAATAAACAGGATACATTTGGAAGTCAAATTCCTTAATTTTTGAAAAAATGGCAGGCTAAAAATACATCATTCTAGTTTGGAATACAGGTGAATACCTACCTTTTTCTAAGTTCTGATATTTAATCCCTTATTAAAATTAACTTGGTTAAAAATAATTTTTTCCATTGATAAGGTGTAAGTGGTTCTAAATTTGTTCTAAAACCAAAACTGATGACAAAACAATAAAAAGTATCAAAACAATCAAATAAAACTTGACCAAATCAGGTAAAGATATAGCTGTCATGAATGAATGGGTGAAATGAGACAAACTTTTCATTTTAAAAGTGAGAGAAGACCCACATAAAGTGACTTATTCAAAGTCATGAAGCCTAATTGAGATAGAGCAGTGTTCTAGAAAGAAACAATATTATAATATCTGGTCCATCATGATTTAGCAGACACACAGAGGGAACTTTAAATGTTTAGAGGGAAGACCTTTAAATATGGTACTAGTGAACCACTGACACATAAAAAGATTAATGTATGATTTCTCTTATATAATCACTCCCATATGATCCCATTTCATTTAGTAAGCAAAAATGACATTCCTATGCAAAGAGTTTCAAGTAGGCAGAATATGAATGTATGTGTAGATATATGTACATGTGTATACATGTACATATTCTTTAATATATATGAAGGTATATGTGTACGTGTGTGTGCATAATTTTATATTCTGGCTCCCTCAAAATTCTTTGTATGAAAGCTTTATTCAAACTTATTAAATGAAAGTACATATATATTTAATGTATATGTACACTTTCATCTCATCTAAAGTATTTTACAATTTAGTTATAGAGTTGACAGTATTGATGGTTCAATTTGAAAATAAAAGACACTATATAAAGAGTGTTAGAATTAAATCTAATGAAGTGTCAAAACATACTGTATAGGCACAGAATATTCTAAGAGATCGAATGAGGGAATTTAACATTACTTCTAATCATAGGCTCATGAAACCTTAGCTATGAAAAGAACTTTTAAACTCTGTAGTTTCCCAGTGATGCAGTTCAGACAGTGTCCCTACCAAAGCTACGCTTAATCACTCTGGAGACCTCACATTCCTTAAAATTGAACTTGTCTTCCTCTATGTTCCGCTCATTTGTCTTGGTTCTATAACTTGGGGTCATACAAAAGAAATCTAGCTCATCTTAAATGATATCCCTTCAGATGATTATTTTTCTGTTCTTTGAAGAAAACCATCCACAGCACAGTTGTTCAAATAAGAGATTTCCCTGCAAATCCTAACCATGAGTTTCTGAACAAAGGCCCATGTAATTCTAATCCTCATAAATAATGGCGACCAGAATTTAACACAATGCTCCAGGTATGATATACTATCATAAAATGAACACCTTTTTTCTAACCTCTGTTATTTCTATCAATGTTCAAGACTTCAAAGTATTAAACAGCCATACCATACTATTCATTTATATTAATTTTACTCTCAACCAAAACTTCTAATCACTTAAAAATTTTCATAAAGTAGAATCTGAGATGAATCTTGAAAGACTAGTAAAATTACCACAGATGTAGTAGGAAGTTCCCATTCTAAACATAAACATACTTTATAAGTTTATATATATGTTATATATTTATAAGCATATAAACATGTTTATATGTTACATAATACAAGACCAAAATATACTATTTAATGTAGTAAAACTTTCCAAGACAATGCACCAATAATAAAGGCAAATCTGTTTAAATCTGGATCAATATAAAAAAATTTAAATGATTCTATCATTCTGCTATTGAATAATCATTAGGCTGTAATCAAAAATAGTATACTAGATTCCAAGAATCTTATAAACCTCACAAATCGAAATGAAAAATATCACCATCTTCCCTAACCACCTATTCAATGCTTAAGTGTTTTATAATATATGTCTTGACAAGCAATTTTCTCTTCTGCCTAAGCACTGCTAGTTGCAATAAAACTCCATTGCCTCCCTTCCCAGTCAATTATATCTAGACAGAACTCTATTAGAACGTTCTTCCTAATTTGAAGCCAAAAATATCCTCCTTGTAGTTTCTACTCATTAGTCCTGGTTTTAACTATTGGTGCCAAGCAGCAAAGTCTACTCTCATCCACATTACAGTTGCCTGAAAAGCTGAAGAAACTTTTCAAATACTTCATCAATTCCTACTAAGACATTTTTCTAATTGTTTTAACTCTTGTTATTTCTTTCAATGAAAATAATGACTAGTACAGTGTGAAAACTACCACGCCTGCCTTGAATAATATTCTAATAAATGAAAAAAATACACAATTAGTTAAATAAAACACTATTCCTTTCATAACTACATAGGTACTCATTTGTGAGCTACAGATGTACACACATACATATATATTCATGTATATGATGATTACAATACTATCTAATATTTTTTCTAAAGATGCTTCTACCAAGCTATGTTTTCTTCATTGTATATTTGAACAATCCACAGATAAATTCTAGAGCAAAGTATAATTTGTACTTTGATCTTTTTTGGATTCAGCCCATTACTTTAGCTCTTAAAGATCATAGTGGATACTATTGCTAAGTTCAAAGTCACATATTCATTATATTTCTCAATCTCGATTATCCTAAGTGTGGATGACTGTTTCCTCTGCATCATCCTACTCTACTCATTGATAAAATTCTGTCCAGAAAGTCAGTATTTGACCAGGAATCATTATCCAGCCTGAAAATATCCACTATTTGCCTAGTTGACTCACCCAGTTTTCTCTAAATTGGAGATCATATTTCTAGATATTATTTGTAGAGGTAATAAAAAGTTAAAGTATCTTAGTAAAATCCAGATATAATGATTTCCAAGAGCCAGTGATCTTTAGAGCTTTATTCACTCTTTATTGTGTGTAGCGCTTGTGTCTAGGCACTATTTTGATCTCTGGTGACTGAGTAAGAGAGTACTGTCAAGACACTACTGATCCAGTGGGGTAAGAGAACACTGATGAGTACCACACATGACAAGCTATAGGGAACGACTGACTGCAGAATATCTTGCCAGAAATAATGAAGGTGAGTAAGTATGTATGAGATGATCCACGTGTGGCTGGGAAGGGGTAGAAGCTGGTATGGAAACACCCTAGAGCTATCAAAGGGCAGTTCACAGTGGACTACAGTGGAGGACTATGGTGTTGGGTAGGAAACAGCTGAAAAGGTGAGGTCCTGCATTTGTGAATTATATACAATGTTGTAAACCAATGTTACCTTTATTTAAAAAATATATTAAAAATGAATAAAAAATAAAACTCTTCCAAACAACAGCAAAATAACAAAGACCAGCTCAGCAACAGCTTTGCTGTGTGGAGCCAAAAAATCAGAGTCTTCTTCAGAAAGCTGTGAAGTACCTAAAAAGACTGTAAGCACCGAAATGCTGAATTGATTAGATTGAAGATTTAGAAAACATACCCTACTATTAGTATGGAATTGGTGGAGGAAGAAGCAGGGAGACTAATGAAGAGTTTACAAAAAGGTAGGGAAGGAGTAAAGCAGTGCCCTCATGGGAATGAGAGGACACTGGAAGAACATAATCCAGAGATAGCAAAAACTCTGAACCAAGAAGTCCTGGTGACTACTAAATGAGAAGCTAAGGTAGAGGGAGGACATCTATTTTTTAAAAAATATTTATTTATTTATGCATATAAGATCTGGGGTATAGGCCAGAGGTGTGGGGGGATGAGAGGATTCACCAGAGACAGAGTGGGGAATAGAACAAGCAGACTAATCGAAATACAGTGCTGAGGAGAGCAGCAGGCAAGACAGGAAAGGTCTGCTTCACCATGTGGGTTGCTCCCTGGCCAGCCACGGATGGAACTCTTGCTGCAGAGGCCTCAGATTGCCTCACACTGCCGTGCTTAACCCCCTGCGCCACCAGGGAGACCCGAGGGAAGACATAAAAAGTGAACCCCTGGATTTTAATTTGGATGAGAAAGGAAGTAGTGGCATCATTTTGTGGCAAAAGGATATACTGTTAGGTGTGGTAGGAATGGGATTATTTTTCCAAGTTTCATCATTTTAAACTAAGTGTGAGGTCAAGATGGGCTAGCCAGGCCAAAATGCTGGATGTATAGAAGTTGCATTCTTCAGAGAGGGCTAGGTTCCACATAGGCACTTGGGAGCTGATAGTGGCACTGAAGTCACAGGCATTGATTTGAATAAAATCACTCAGCCAGAACATATACAAAATCAGAGGAATTAATTTAGGTTTAGGAAATAGATTTAGATCAATGTCAAATTCAGGCTGTAAAATAAAAAGCTGTATCTAAGGGTTTCATCTGAAATATGGTTTACTAATTTAAAGCTTATTTCTTATTTATAAATATTGATGCTATATTAAATTTCTACAAATGTTGAAAGAAATCTATCAAGCAGTTTGTCCATGTGGTACTGCTACTTCACTTATAAATCAAAAACCAATGAAAATAACCACATGGATGTGATTTTAGAGCATCTCAAAACAATGTGAATTAAAAAAAAAGTAGCAAAGATAGGAAAAGTCTATGCATTGCAAACACAACATCAAGATTATACCTTTGAAGGCTAAGAGTCGCATCCTTTATTTCTTCTACAGTTTCAAACTTTTTTTCCTCTTATGTACACTATTTTGGAGGGAAATGTCATTGTAACAGTGAAATGGGAGGTTTTTGCTCATATTTGCTACATTACACAACACATTAACTGCCTGTGTTTAACAACTCCACTGCCTCATTAACTACTCAATAAAAAATAAGTACAAATAAATCAAGGTATCACTGGGCAAAAATTTCACTATTGTGATAGTTGTAACTTCTGGATTTTGTAATCTCAAATATTACTCTTACTCAAAATGTTTTATATTTAATCAGCTTATACAGAATGTTCAAAGTGGATCATCCCAAAGATACAAATTTGCTTATTCATTCGCAGCACATTACTATAGCTGGGACTCTTACCATGATGTTCAAATAAATTTAATATAATGGGTTCATTCAAAGTCAGAGAAAACTCTAGTTTTCTGAAGGTCACAATTCAGTGATTAAAAGAATAAAAATTCTTAATAAAATAAGCAAACAAATAATATACACATCTAATTCTCCGACTTCTAGTAAGTCGGATTTTAGCACCATCACTGTGGTAGCTGTTCGCAAAGCTTCATCTAATCTCATAATTATAAAATATAAGCAAAATAATTTAAAAAATAGTAGAAAATGTCAAAGATAAAGTTTCGACTACTTCAAGTACTCATCATATATAAAACACTGTGATCCAGCCTTACAGATAGACACGTTGTATTTCTAGCGGAAGATTTTAATATTCTCCAAAAGAAAACCTTTATTGCCTCATTCTTTATCAACTAAACTTAACTTTGCAAATCTGTCTTAAACAACTGTTTACACTATTAGTACATCCATAGTTTGAATTTAAGATGATTTAATAGTGTAGTTTCAAAAAGAGATAAAAGGACACTTTTAAAAGTGTCAAAAGGACACTTATAAGGTACAGGGCAGTTGGAAAGCTTCCTGAATCCACCTTCAGAACTCTCTGATTCATGATATTTAATGGGGGAATGGGAATAGAGGACAAGAGCCCTATAAGTGTCCTCATATAGCTCATCCAAAATGACCTCATGCCACATTTAAAATTACCATGACAAGTCACACCCATTATCTGTGTCAATTGTTGACATTCAGCCAATTTGACAATACATTCTTTCATGGGTAGAATAAGACCTAATAATATCCCTAAAATTCTAATCTCCTGGTTGTGGCACAAAAACTCTAACAGTGAAGGTGGCGGCTAGTCTGTATCTGCCCCCATCACATACTTCATATCAAGTGGACAGAGAGCCCAGGGGGTGACATGAATAGCTCAGGGCCATCCAATCACAGACTCAAAATTCTGGTGCCAACATCAGATGACTGTGCAGCACTGGACTATTGAAGCAGGACTATTGAAACTCAAATTCAGGAGATATTTCTTAATAAGGCACTTTATTTAATGCTAGACTTGATTGGAGCACTATACTATCTCCAGACTTCTAGTCTCACATACAAGTATCCAAGACACCAATCTTTTCTTTACAAAGTATTCTTTCCAAGATGTGCCTTAATGCCTTTTATAGAACACCTGTAAAACTATAATCTACTTTTAAAGATGATGCTGGAATAATGCTATTCATAATCAATATGGCATTTAATAAATCTTAATAAAAAATGACCTATAATGGGAAATTAATCTTCATTCCAGATCACTGCATGAGTTCCATTATTATCTAAAATTGCTTTATATTTTGTGAAAGTTATTCATTTCTATGCTGTTCAATTGTTCTACATATTGGATATTATTTATTGTGCATCAATATAAACTAGATACTTTAAAACTGTAGCTTAGCTATTTGTTTTTTTAATGAATTTTCATTATTTAGGAGTGTTTTATATGTCAACTTTTTGAAATTGTATTTGCACAAAACGTGGAATTTCAGTGATCAATTAAAGTTGCACATTTAGGATAGGAAAGAAATAGTAACTTCCTTTTCCTCACTTATAATAAAAAGTTATAAAAATATATATAAGCCCAGTGCAAAAACAAAACTTTGTAAATTTAACTTTAAACTGAGAATTGGTTATCACAATCTAAGCTTCTTTTCACCCTATCACTTTCTACCTATGACACAAGCCAGTGCACATTCTGATATGAAACATTTTGCTGATATATTTCAATAAATAACCTTAATTTGATTTTTTAAAAATGCAACAATATTTCTCCATATAAAAATATAAGACATTTAGGACATACGATGGACATAGATATTGCTTCTTTTTCCCCTTCCCTTTCTTTGAAGACTTCTCTTTAGAATAGGCTTCTTCAATACACAAAGAAATTAAAATAAAAAAGGCAATGGCCAGTAGAAACTTCATCTTGAAAAGTTAAATGTCAGGAGATGGATCTACAAGAAAGAATAAGAAAATATTTACATTTATGAAGCAAATGACTATATGACTTTTAGGAGTATGACCATTACTGCTCAATCCTATGTGGTTACATTTCACTATATACTTTGTGATGGTTTAGTAGTAAAAGTTATTTTAAATAATCATTTACAGAAAATAAGACCCCTATGAGGTATAAAAAGTAAGTATACAAAATTTCTGATTCTATGATTGCATAAAATTGCAAATTGAGTTGCATATTGAATTGTGCAATATGTTAAATACTTAGAAAGCTAATTGGATGGATGTAAAGAGGGTTAAAATGGTTGTCTTGTGCTAGTACATTTGAATTTTTTGTTTACTTTCATCATTTCTATATTGCTGGATTTTGCCTATATTTTCAAAAATACCAAAACTATTGCATAGGAAAAGAGAAATTTAAGAATTGACATATAAAAGAAAAAAAATTAGTTTCAAAGAGTTTCACACTCTAAATTCATTGTTTTTATTGATACACACTGTGTGTTCATTTAAGTTCATTTATCGGGCCTTTTCCCCTCAGTGCTCCATGTATCACCAAGAGATGGTTTCTGACTCTGGACATTCTAAGTGTCATTTTATATGAAATGAAAAAGCGAGTGTGGCCAGACTTTTTCAAAATAATTCTCTTAGTCATATTTTAATAACATTTTGCAAACAATTCAGAATTAAATTCTTGCCTGTCTGCTGCATCAAAAATAAATAAATAACAAAATAAGCCAAAAACTTAAGGTTCTTATACCAAAAAAATAGTTATTCCTGTCCTGCGTCCTTCGTTTCCAAATCATAAATCTTTCTCCTTTACTGTTTTCTGCAGAGTAAAAGCCCTGTCACATTCCTCAACATTAAATTAATTCCCATCTCATCCCTACACCCAGGCTTCTCCTAGGTGATGTGTCCATCTCCCTCTCTCCCAGGAATTCCCATTTCCTCACATTCATCCTCCGCAGTCCCTAAAGCAAGACACAGGGTCTTTGCCATGGTCCTTTCGTACTGAAGGCAACAGAGGGGCTTGTCAAAACCCAAAAAGCAAGGCCAGAAGGCTCTCGTCCACTGGCAGCACTGGGAGCGCCCTCCCCCTGCCTACTGTGGCATCTGCTTGCAGACACCTCTGCCCGCAGCAGCAGGTACTTCTCCCACCTTCACACCCTGCCCTGGACAACCGGAGGCCGTGCGCCCGGCGCGCAGGGGCGCGAGGCTTTCGACTCTCTGCTCCCTCGCCCAGCTCCCACCTGTCCAAGGGCAGGGAGGCCAAGACCCCCCTCACGCCCGACACCCCGCCAGGAGCCCCGGATCGCCTAATCCTCCCCGTCCCTCTGCCCGCCTCCCTCCCGATGGCCGCAGCGGCGACCCGGCTGCAGCAGCGCGCGCCCCGCGCCGGCCAGCGCTCCCCCTGCACGCCGCAGTGCCCCGCGCCCCCGCCGGCCGGGGCTCCCCGCTTTCCGCAGAGGCATTTATTTCTCCGCGGCCGCAGCCTCCCCAGAGCCCCTAGCCCGTCCGCCCGCGCCCCTCCCGGCCCAGCGCAGCCCCCCGCACTTACCCCAGGCGCCCCGCCCGCCGCCGCCCGACCAGGAAGCCGCGGCTCGGGCCCAGACGGCCGGGACTGCGGGGCGCGCGGCGGGCGCAGAGCGGGGGCCGCTGCGTCCCCGCCGCCCGCGCCACCGCCGAGCTGGGCTGACGCGCCTGCTCCGGCCGCGGAGCCTGCGCCGTGGCGCGCCGCCGGCCCCGACGCTGCGGGGACCCCCGGAGGCGCGGCGGGGACCCCGGGCGGCGGGACCCCGTAGGGGGATGCCCCGACCCCGCGTGGAAGGACATCATGGCACCTTCCTCTCCAGGCCATGGAGAGGTTTCCTAGTAAAAATGCACTACCCCCTTTTAGGGGACCAAGAAGAATAGGGGGGCTGAGGGTCACTAAGGACAGTGGGGGGGGGGATTGCAAGGAGCTGGAACTGCTTAGGGACAACTTTTGGCCACTGGTAACAGCCACCACAAATGACCTTCTTGGACCAAAACAGAACACGGTTTTTGTGCTTTTATCATTTGCATAGAATCCTGGCATCTAACTTCATCAGAATCGTACTTCCATATTTTAAAATGCCCGACTTTTCTAAGCAAATTTAAGTTGGGCAGAACCACGAAGGCCATGCAAACATGCCAGAAATAGCCATGTAGCATCTGCGACATAATGAGCATTTGTGCTGAACTTGACCATTTCTAAACCTGCTCTGTGGTCGCATTTGGTCCTCACGGCTTTCATCTGTGGGTAATATTTGTGTCTTCTTTCCTATTTTGCAGATAAGGAAAGTGAAGCTCAACTATCTTAAGGAATTTATTGAGTGTTTCGTGTCCTAAGTGGAATTTACTAAAGACTCAAAGTTGAATGTCTGCATTTCCAAGTCAGGTTGGAGTTCATGCCACCTTTTCTAGCAAGAGTGTTGGTTGTCTTTATTTATAAAGTAGCTCTTCATTTGGCTCTGCAGGGCTTGGATAAGAGACAAAGCTTTCCTATTACCTCCAGACTCTATGCCTAGTTGAGTTTTTATTAAGAAAACATTGTCTTAAGTGAATATCATTAGCATTGGACTGTGGTAATGGATTTCTCAACCCAGGTAGTATTGGGTGATGGCCGGGTGAAAACATTTCTATTAAGGGACCATGTTCTATGAGTTCACAAGATTTTCTGCTACCTAAGATTAGCATTTGATCATCATGTAAAGAACTGTCCTTTTTGAAGTCTCTAAATTAGGTCAGGCTATAACTTTGGGCTTTAAAAAGTATATAAAAGAAAGCTGTGTTGATCTTATAAATGTTACAAGATGTAAGTTTTGGGAAATAAGTCATAAAAAAGAAGGCTAAAAGGCAACCAAGGGAGTTTAGATGTTAAAGAAAACCTTAAACCTTATTTTCATATACTCTAGGTATTATTAAGAATTTGGAATAATGGGATGTTCAGATTCTTATAATGACATAGATTTAACTTTCACTTAAACCTTAGGGACACATTTGGAAGAACTAAAATTGATTTGTTTACTTTTCCTAGTATTATCTCTATGCCACCTAGGGATATTCTATTAGAAAACTGAGTTTATTCATAAGAGAATCATATCCAGTTGTTACGATTGTTTGTATTTGTTTTTGTTATTTACCCAGAGGTTAGAGAATACAGTTGATGACCTACACACACCTCTTTCTGGCCTGGGAAGTTGTGAGGTTTTGAATTTGGAATATTTTCTATGAAGGTGATCTGCTCACCCTTACATAGGTGTTATATTGTCAAAGGGGGAGCATCCAGGGGGCTTCCCTGGTGGTCTACGGGCTAAGTCTCAGTGCTATCCCCCTACAGATTGTATTCCATCCTAGGCCAGGGAGTTAACCTAACCCACAAATGGTGCAGTGACCTCTCCTGTCTCGTCCGCTGCTCTCCTTGGCAGTGTACTTCAGTAAATCCACCTGTTTTTGTTCTCTACTCTGGCTCTGGTCAAACCTCTCGCACACTCCTTCACAACCCCCCCCCCACCCACACACCTCTGTCCTACAACCCAGTCGTTCCACGCCCAAAAAAAAAAAAAAAAAATTACAAAGGGAAGTTTCAAAAAACCCCAAAACATGGTTGAATAGTCAATTTACCAAATCTTATCAAGTGTTAGTCCACTTTCTCTGTTTTTCTTCCGTCTCCATTTATGCCCTTAGTAATTTCTTGTAGTCACATGGTCTTATTATTGATGACACCCAAATTAATTTTTGCAAACTACATCTCTCTCCGAAACTCTAGACTCTCTAGACTCGTAAATCCACTCCCTTCTCAGCATCTCAGCTTGCATGTTTAAGGAACATTTCAAAGTCAACATGTCCAAAACTGAACTTCCCCAATTCAGCTCCATACTCACTCTTCTCAGTTGGTGGCAGCCCTTCCTCCTAGTTGTTCAGTGCAAATATCTTTCAGTTGCTCTTCATCCTCTCTTTTTCCCTCCACTGCAAATGTGTGAAGAGACCCTGTTGATGCTCAAATTAGATCCATGACCCAGTCACTTCTCAATATTTTTACTGCAACCAGCTTGGAGTGAGCCACCATATCTCTAAGTTGGGTCATTGTAGTGGCTTCTCAGCACTCTCTTGCTTCTGTCAGTGCCCTTCCCCACTCCTAGGTGTCTCAACACAGCAGCCAGAAACTTGCAGCCTGGCACATGCCTGATTGTGCCACTCCACAGTCCCCCACCCAGTCATGACTCCTCATTACACTCAGATTCATTTTTCCCAAAGATTTATTTATTTATTCATACAAGAACTGGGATACAGGCCAGAGGTGTGGGGGGTGAGAGAATTCACCAGAGACAGAGTGGAGAGCCGAATAGGCAGATTGAGGGAAATACACTGCTGAGGGGAGCAGTGGGTGGGCCAGGAGAGGTCTGCTGCACCATGTGGGCTGCTCCCTGGCCAGGGATCAAACTCATGCTCCAGTGGCTGTGGACAGCCTCATAGGTTGTGTCTTAACCCCTTGTGCCACCAGGGTGGCCCTACACTCAGATTCTAAGCTACACAGCCCATGATGGTATAGAAGGTCCACGTTGTTTGTGCCCTCCAACATAACTGTATTTTCCTCACACCCTTCCCTTCACCCTCTGATCTTGCTGTTTCTCCAACATGGCACCGCCAGGCAAGGACTCTGTAGGTTATTGATTCTATGTCTTGCCTCTGCCTAGCTTGCCTTCCCCACAGAGAACTGTGTGTCTAGCTCCCTAATTTCTTCAAGTTAATTTTTTAGATGTTACAGATCTCAAAGATTTTCTTGAATATTAAAGGTGCAACCTCCCTCTTCCACCCAATGATTTCAGATCTCCTTTTACCAGCTTTCTTTCTCTTTATTATAGTCCATATTAACTTCTAGTGTACTTTACCGCTTATTTTTTAATATATTTGTTGCCTCTCTTTCCTTGAGGGAAGAATTTTTGTTTATTTTTGCCCATTGATATTGCTAGCACTGAGAATAGTGTTAAATAAATAAGTAAATCTTGGACTAATTAAGTCTATAAATTTCATGTATCCTTATCCAAAAAAAAGGAAAATGAAAAGGAAGGATTGTCACCACATATTCAAGTAGCCTTGATAATACTAAATAATCGAATGGATTATCATTTGTTCTAAGAACTGGAAGATTGTTCTAAGAACTGAACAGAATAAAACCTGGTCATTTGAAAATGTGCCATAAACAATTATCTCTCTTCTTTTTGCTTTCTTTTTCCTACTTGTTTAATGGAATGATACAATTTTAATTAATATGTCTAGTTTTTACTGATTTTTTGTTCCTTTACTCATTCCAGCTAAAATGTTTTTGAGACCAATCACCAAACACTCAATAGAAACCCATTTCATATGCATCCAGCTTCACATGGTCTATAATATATAAATTTCATTTTACTTGTTCATGAAACTTAAATACTGTCCTAAATATCTTGTGTTAGATTAAAAAATCAAGTGTTTGAAAAAAGATTATTCTCACCAGATGATTTGTTAATATAAGCACTGACCTAGATAGCCACAAAACATTAGTTGTTAATATATACATTTATTTCCTTATTTTTCTATATATGAATCATATTTATTCTTTAATGATAGCTTGAATTATAAGTTATTCATGGTATTTTTCATCAAAACTTCAGTCCATGTGCCTCCCTGGTGGTGCAAGGGGTTAAGACGCAACCTCTGAATCTATCTGCAGCCACTGCAGCACGATTTCCATCCCCAGCCAGGGAGCTACCCACATGGCGAAGCAGACCTCTCCTGACTCGCCCGCTGCTCCCATCAGCAGTGTATTTCAATCAGTCTGCCTGTTCTGTTCCCCACTCTGTCTCTGGTGAATCCTCTCACCCCCACACCTCTGGCCTATACCTCAGTTCTTGTATCCATAAATAAATCTTTTAAAAAATAAAAAATAAATATATCTTAAAAAAAAAAAAAAACTTCAGTCCATGTGCCATTATAGCCATCAGGTATTTTCAAGAAAAGCAAGCATGTCCAACTTTAAAATGCATTTTCTCAAATTATCATCTTTAAAACTTTCTCAAAATGAATAATGGAAGTATAAATATAAATAGCGATTACAACAGAAGTTGATTAGAATCATGTGTCAGTTATTTAGCATCTGTTCAGTACTATTTATGAATCTTAAAAGGCAGCAAAACTTGTACTAAAAAATACTGATGAGTAGTCAGTCTTAATATATTAGCATAATGCAAATAATATTTGATAACCCAAGATACCTTTCGTATGCTTTTCTGACACAGCATATAATCCTTAAAAGAGTCCCCAATCTCCTACTTTTCAAACTGACTTTTCAACAATAAAAGTCACAGCTTTTATTGATTACTAATTGCAAGAAATATCATTCATGTTATACTTTCAGAACTTCAGGCTATCTTAGCAAATTATTTTATACCCAAAATTTTGATGAGAAACCAGAGGCTCAGAAAGAGAAAATGACTTATCCAGGATAAGAGAGTTGGAAGGGGAAAAAGTGGGATTATTTCATCTTCAGTGTCCTATCACAACATCAAGACTCTGAGTCTGGTTACACATAAGTGAGTGTAAGTAGCTTTGTTTTAGACACAGACATGACTCATGCACAATTCTGGCTGGAGATATGGAAACTGAAGTCAAATAGGCTGTTCTGGTACTAGGTACAGGCTTTTACTTCGAACTCCAGTTTAGCCCTAAAGGATTAATTAATTTGTAAATAATTTTCACTTAAATTTTGTCTGTTCAAAATAATAATAGTAACAGTGATTATCATTATCGATGAAGGGTACACTATTTGCCAGATACTATGCAAAGTATGCAAAGTATGTTAAACTTTGTTAACATACTTTGTGGGGTCAGTACTATTCTTATTACAATTTATAGATGAAGATCCAGAGCCATCATCTAACTTTTCCAAACTCAGTTTGTTAATAATTAATTGAGAGAGTTATGTACCTAAATAAGTCTCATTCTGGAAATTCACCCCATAAAATAGTTTGTGTGTGAATTTAAATTTTATATTCAATTATATCTCATGACACCAGAACAATGTTAATATCCAACCTGAACACCTTCTTAACCATAATATAATTTTGAGACAGTAAAAAAGAACCTGAATAAGACCTGCCTATTAATGAACTTGAGCACCAACCTCTGTTTCATCTAACTGGGGGGATAGTTCAGAAGAATCAAGGACCAGCTATTACATCCGCCAGTTCAGCATCGGTCACTCACATGAACTTAAAATAGATGTCAACAAGTTAAGATTTTGTCACAGTATCCACTGAAAAAGCTCCTAGGATACAGCTTTCAGAGAAATTAGATATATGTCCTAATTCCTTAGCAAAATTAAAGAAAAAAATACTCATCCTCTATGTAAATCATTTGATGCTATTACTGTGCTTCAAGAATGAGCTTTAGGGAAAAAGCAAATAAACCTGTTGATTATTTAGGGTTGTCAATGCTAGTCCAACATCAGTTATATAAAAGTTAGTAATTTTAGCCAAAATTTTCACATCAGGATAGATATTACTAAGCCAGTGCCATCCACAGATCAGTTACATAAGTTATTTATTCATTTATTTTATAGCTATCATGTGATCGCTGGCTCAGTCAGGACTTCAAAGCCACGTATTTCTCTGAAGTAATAATAACAGTTCCTGTGGCAGAAGCAGATCACTAATTACAGAGGCCCACGGATCTTCCAAAAGCATTTGCAACTTTTACCAAGTCTGAGCAAAGTCAGTCGCCTCTTTTAACAAGCTTTGAACCTGCCCATAGGTGTTGCTGCAACCTGGGAGGTGCTTTCTCTTCTCTACCAGCCAGGTTAACAAGACCTAAATGTCCCTGACAAGGTGCTCTCTTCCTTGCTATCCTAGGCAGATTCTCGACCCCCCCTTTGAAGAGCAATCCCAGAATCTGTCTTCTCAAAACCTGTCAACAATGTCAGTCTTTATTTTATTATCTACCCTTTATTTTTTATTATCTTTCTTTTAAGACTACATAAACACTGTTTGGGATGTGTCTATGGACAATATTAAGAATTTATTCCTCTAGGTTTTCTAATGATGTAAATCAACTGAAAATTCCCAACCTGAAGATTAAGGATTTGAAATCTCTGTCTCTGTGGGAAATGTTTTATTTATCACATTAGTAAAACTTTGTTTATAATTTATGTGTAGGGCATGAAAGATAATAAGAAACAGCATTCTACTTTTGCAGCTTTTATTTTAGAATAAGCAAGTGGGTGGATAATGGGCCTATCAATATTAAAAGTTATAAAAAAACCATGGTATTTATCAAATTATTATGGTTTTAAAATTAGACTTTCAAATCAGACGCAACAAACAAATTAGGTTCATTATGTGATCATTAAGAAACTATGCAACTTGCTGTGGATGTTAAAGTTTGTATTTTTCTCATTTACTTTTTAAAGCTGACTTTATCAGTAGAATGTATGTATTTTATTGGTGCCACTGGGGAAGAACATCTGTTTTAAGGTAGTATCATCAAGATCAACGAGGTTGATGGGGACAGCAGGGAGGGGGATGAGGTCAGACAGATGTGGATACTAGCTCTGAGGTGGCTGGGCTGGGGAAGAACAGCCAAGAAAAAAGTCAATGAAACATTGGATTGAGAAAAAAAAAATGGAACCAGAATAAAATGTTTGAATGAAATTTTCTAGGTTAACGTTTCTTAAAGCATGTTCAATGTAGCATTAGCTGTCAATAGGCTTTATGGGGAAAAAAGAGTCAAAGACTGAAAAAAACTTGAACAATTTTGTCTATAATATCTTTCTAAGATTCATAAAGTGTTTTAACATACAGTGCCTTCCAGTACCCAAGGGGGATGCCTGTGCATAGTGCCAAACCTCCTATAGGCATCCTATACATACATACCTATGATCAAATTTAATTTATCAAATAAATATGCAAGAGCTTAACAACAATAGTACTAATAAAATAGGATGATTATAATAATAGGCTGTAGTTAAAGTTATGTGAATATGGTTTCTCTCTTTCTCTCCAAATATTTTATTGGGCATAATATTTTCAGACTGTGGTTGACCACAGGTAACTGAAGCCACAGAAAGGGAAACCACAGATAGAAGGAACTACTGTATTAAATGTTTTGTTATGATATAAATGAAGAAAGAAGTCAACAATATTTAACCCAGTATCTCCAAAACATATTTGACCAGGAAATTATTTTGTGCAGCATTCCAATAGTCCATAGACTGGGGGTCCCAAGAAATATAATTCAGCAGAAGCTGTTGTGAGTAAAAACATAACATAACATAAGGTAAGAACTCCATTAACAAAGACCCTGGAAGTAAGTAGAAATCACCAAGTCTTATAGAAATTCTGATGAGATGACTGACAACTCTTCAATTACAAGTATCTATTCAATTACAATAGATAGAACAAGAAAGCATAAAAAGTGATAATTTTCCTTAATGAGCTTGAAGTTGATAGAGATAGCAAACAATAGAGAAATAGCAAACAATAGATATGAAAAACTGCATACTAGGAGAGGGTTTAAAGTTTAGTATTATATCTTGAGAGTACTACTAGTAAAGTGAGTGAAAAGCAATCGGAATTAGCAAGAAAAACTTTGGCCAAGTATGGGTCTTTTGCCTTAAATAATTTTCCAAGAGGGCCTCCTCTGGTGGCACAATGGTTGAGCACTTGGCTGTGAAGCTGCCCACAGCCTCTGCAGTGCCGGTTCCATCCCTGGCAGCCGGCGAGGGTCCCACATGGCAGGACAGACCTCTCCTGCTGCGCCCGCTGCTCCCCTCAGCAGTGTATTTCGTCAGTCTGCCTGTTCTGTTCCCTACTCTGGCTCTGGTGAATTCTCTCACCCTCCCGCCTTCTGACTGTACCTAGTGCTTGTATAAATAAATAAATAAATATTTAAATAATAATAATAATAATTTTCCAAGAATAAGAGTAGAGGGCAGCAGCTAGCAAAGAGAAAAACGAGGGCTTAGGGAGAGATAGAGGGGAAGGAAAATGTCATAATTATTCCAAGACTTGACCCTTAAAGACAGAAAATTAGTGATTTCACTAACAAGGAACAGGAAGGGATAATGGTCCCTGGGGGGCTTACAGGTCAGTGTCATAACCGTCATTCATCCTAATGTGAGTCAAACAAGATACCACCCCCTCTTTTAAGCACTTCATTCTCTACTAGGGTACATTAAAGTATGATTACAATAAAAAAGGATCATGACTTTCTGAAGACTGAGTTATAAACTGACTTGGAGCAGAGGTTATGGTGGGGGGAGAGAAGAGATTGGGGAAGAATTGCCATTTTTCATTAAAATGATACCTAATTTGTGCTTTATAAAATTAATATGCTAGATTGACCAAAAGGAAAGAGGAATTCTTGACAGTTGACCAAACCTGAGTAGAAACATATAGAATACATGGTATGTTCATATTTTTGTAAAGTGATAGTATGAAATGGCCAACGCCACAGGAACGACAAGGGTGGCTATAGGGGGCTTATTTTATTTATTTCAATTCAATGACTAAGAAGGGGATATACATTGTGCTTAGGAAGTCTCACCAATAGCAGTCTTACAAATATCTAGAATGACCTGCCTCATAGTCCTGCTACATACACTCTTTAACAAAACTCCAATCTGTGTGCTTTCTCTGCTTTCTCCAAAATTGTCAATGGATTAATTACTTAGTAGAATAGCTTGATATTTACAATAGACGAGACCCACATATGCTCTGTAATCTTATTTTGCTTACTCTCGTTTTCTGTGATTATTTTGTACATTCTGCATTCTCCTCAAACTCCAGACACCCTTCTTCCTACTCCCCCTCAACAGATGAGGAAATGGAAACCATGAGAATGGAAATTTTTAGAAGTTCATTCAACAAGCCTACTTGTGATAAGAACATTTGTTTTCTCCTTCTATTCGGTTAAAATAAAATATTTCTTTCCTTCTTCTCTTGTCCAAGATTAATTCCTTCACCTATGCTTTGAGTCTTATTCCCCACTCATGTACTCAACAACTGCAAAATATCAATTATCCTCTCCCTTTCCTTTATTAACTTTATCTTCACCCTTCCTATTGACTCCCTCATTGAATATATCAGTTTCCCAACATTTCAAAATAAAAAGCTTCTGCTCCAACCTCATATTTAGCTTCCACTCCTGTTCCTCACAGTCATGTGTTTTGACTCTGTCTTCATTTTATTCAAAATGCTTTTTTACTAGTTCTTCCCACAGATGGAATATTCTTACTCTTCACTAGGAATGGTATCTCAGCATTTCCTGATCCCCTAACTAAATTAGCATCATATGTCATTTTCTATTTTATTTATATGCTCAGTCTCTTCATAACACTTATTACCACCTACAATTATCTTGCTTGTTTATTTTCTTGTTTGTCTCCATCACCAAAATGAAAGCTCTCTCAGGGTAGAGATTATGCCTCTTCTATCATTATGTTCTTTCTCTGTATTTAATTCTGTTCCTGCCATAAGAAAGAAACTTAAGCAATATTTATTTAATAAGATGTTTGGATATTCTCCTAGGCTGCATTTCAGAAGGCTGAGAAGGTAACCCAGGAAAGGGTAATCAAAAACTACAAATGGATGCATCTAGAGAGTTGATAATCTTGAATGATGAATAAGTCACTGGAATATTGTACAGTGAATCCTTTACTAATATATATATTTTTAATGAAGATTTATTTATTTATTTTATACAAGAACCGGTGTACAGGCCAGATGCGTGGGAGGGTGAGAGGATTCACCAGAGGTAGAGCAGGGAACAGAATAGGCAGACTGATGAAATACACTGCTGAGGGGAGCAGTGGGCATGATCTGAGAGGTCTGCTGCGCCATGTGGGACCCTCGCCGGCGGCCAGGGATCGAACCGGTGCTGCAGAGGCTATGGACAGCTTCACAGCACTGTGTTCAACCACCTGCACCACCAGGGGAGGCCCAAATAGTATATTTGTAAAAATAAATCAAATGAATAGAAGAATATCAAGAGAGACTACATGTCCAGATTTAATTTTAGAAGTATTATTGGCAAAAGAAAACAATTGATTTTCATTGTTTCAAAAAATGAAAGTGTTCTATTAAAATACTTTAAACAAACAATGTAATAAATTTACATGAGAATAAATCACTTTCCAAGTGACCTATTGTGATTTCAAAAGAACACACCATTGTTACATCAATTTTGTGCTATATGAATTCCTTTTTGGTATTTTTATTAAAGTAACTGTAAAAATGATTCAAAGGTTTGTGTAATTAAAAAAATAATTCTCTCCATTAATGAATTCTATATAGAATTTGAGTGTCAATTGATCTATATCCTCAATTGACAACTGGCTCTATGCAGTGTTGTTTATTAAATAATTTTGTGCCTTAAATAAATAATAAAAAATGATATTGACAAAAATGGATACTTTAACACAAATCATTGTCATTCAAGAGCCTTCTACCTCTGCTGCCATAACTATGATTGGGATCGTTGAGCCACTGAAAGCTTGATCCCAAAATAAGAGGCAAGTACATACACGGAATAGGCTGACCTTTATTGGGAACATTTAAAGAGGAGAAGAGAGATATTTATATTTCAGACTGAGGATTTGGAGCATCCTTAAGGAATTTTCCACTAGATTTATGAATTCAGTATTTCATCTACCTCATTTTTCAAGATACCTATATCACAATAAGGTTAGAATTATCTGCCCAGCAATTTTAGAAAATTTCCAGATCAATCATGTATTTGAATGTCTTAATAATATAAAATTTAATGATACATAGTTAGGAAAGTAAATGCCTAAAAATAAATATAATATTTGAGATGTGTCTATGCCTCCTAAAAAATTAAGTTTTTTTGTTTGTGTTTATGTTTTAGTGTATTGTCAGAGAAAATAAGAATTTGCAGGAATCATTTATCTCCATTTCACTTAAGTTAGTATAATT